CTGGAAATTCTGCCATTTACCCCACAGAGGGGATTTCCAGAAAATAGTGTGATGCCATCTTTTTGTCCTTAGATGGTCTTCCTCAGAACTGTCATGGCACGAAAGGTTGTGATTCTTAGGGTGCTAATGAGCATTTAATATATTTCGAGGTGAAATCAGGGTCAACTTCACCTCCATGTTGGAACCAGTCAGTTTTGGCAGGTCTGTTACCTATACCCTCCCTCCCCACACCTTGAGAGAACATTTTACACAGAATGTTTAGAATATAAACAAACATCTAAGCAAACAAACACCAGCCAGATGTAAACAACATCAAAGTTCCCCTTGCTGCTCATGTCTGGCTATCTACCTACTACAACAAAAGGACCTTAGAGGTCATGTTCCCCTCTACCATTGCACAGATGGGGAAACTGAGGCCCATAGGTTAAAATGCAGTATCTTAGTCACATGGCTAGTTAGCAGAAGTCAGAACAAGAATACAGATGCCCTAGCTTTCAGAAAAATGATTTGTCCAGACAGAGATAGAGTTTGTGTATGCATGTATTTCTGTCACTTATGTTTTAGGAGAGGAAGAAGGAAGTAGCAATAATGCAGTTTCATGTTTCAAGGACAGTATGTGCCAGGATTTCTAATGCAGTTGAAACTGAGGGATTTCAGTAGATCAGAGCTAATAAGAACTGGTAGCCTTATCCCTGAGCTCTTTGTCCCTTTTCTGTATTCCACTCAGCCTGGTAAATGTGTTATAGGCCACCTGGGCATAGCAGCTATAGGCCCTGACAATATCCTCTATCCTCTAGAACCATGAACTTGAGCTAAAAGTTTGGGTTGTAATGAAGCAAGTCTAGTGAATTTCTGCATCTTCCATAGAATCACAATATCACTGAAAACCTCTGAACTTGCTTCCATATGATTCCTTTCCTGGAAAATTAGAACCGTATCATTTGCCTACCTCAGAACACTTTAGCAAAGATCACTGAGATATGTTCTATAAAGTTTTTAAGCAGAAGATTCTATACACACCTAGTATCATTAACATTATTGATACTGATAAGTCTGTGACAAAGTTAAAGTTATTAGGTGTGTTCTATCACCATTATATCTATTATAATTATTTATAATAATTTGAAAAATTGAGGAATTAGATATTGCTTTATCTTGTGACCAGATAGTCTTGTATCTTTTGGCAAACTGAGGAGAGGTGTTCTTCTCATAATGGCAAGAAATTCTTAAAGTAAGCCAAGGTGGCTGTCTGGGGATGGGGTGCAGCTCCTCACCTCCAGTTTTGCTTTGCTGAGACTTCAGAGCAAGGCTGTGTGAGCACCTTCAGGAAGATTTCCTTCAAAGGCAACTCTGAAAGTCTTGTCTCCGGAAGACTCTTCCCATATTATAATTTGAATGTAACTTAATCGTACTTGGTGGAGATTTGCACACAAATTTGTGAGCACGTGACTTGAGAAATGTTCCTTTACATTGTGAAGAGGGTCTTCATTTTTCATTCAGAAGAGGTCTAAAGAGCTTTGACATCATTATGTTCCTTCTGTCATGGAAAACCGCTTGCCTTCTGCAGGCAGGTGCTGTATCTCTGGTTTATCTCCAAGTCACTCAGACTGTACATTGCTGGGCTAGGGTTTTATTATTCCTTCCTTTCAGATTCAGTAGAGCTGCACTGTTACTCATTCTGACTCTCATAAGTGATAGGAAGACATTATTTACACATTTAGAAGGAATATACATTTAAGAATCTACATTAAGTAAGTGAGTATCTTTGCTGTTTTCTGAGAAATGTTGAAAGAAAAAGGAAGGGGCAAATAGAAGTCTAATAAGACACACTTCCCCAAGAATTTTTTGGCCCAAAAGGAATCCAGCCCTTTGGAATACCTCACAGACTTTTTGTTTAAAAAAAATTGTTCAATCAAATGTTTAGTCCATCTTGACTTACAATGTCTGAAAAGCCACGAAGCAGTGGTAACTTATGTTCCACCCTTATAGGCATTGGTGTTCTGTGAATGAACCAGTGTGTTTGAACGCTAAAAGCTTTTCCTAATTCACAGGGAATTTAAGGTAATGAATGGTATGTTCAAGATTTTTCTCCTATAAATCATTCCTAAATCTTTGGCTTTCTTATGCCCACCAGAATCTAATGAAAAATGTCATTTTGTACAGCCTAGAATTTTCTATTTAGTTAGATGTTACTTCCAGTACTTTAGATCAGTTCCAGATTTTCTGCCACTCAAAAAAACATGGAGAGTTCCTGTCTTTGCAGCACACAGCATATTTCACAGATTCTCCTAAAGATCTTTGATATCTCACCCCCTTGGACATTTCAGTTTTCTCAAATGAAGGCAAATTCATAGGGAGTGATGCCAAGGTAATTTTTGCTAACATTATACCAGTTCCCAACATTAGCACCTTTATCTTTTTTCTTTTCTGTTCTATGTTTTCTTTCCTCCTCTGTTTTATATTCTCTGTCATTAATTGACTATCTACCATGTGCCAACAGATGTTAATCTTCACATCAGCTATGCAGATGAAGATATAAAGGCTCATGTAGGCGAAGTTACTAACCCTAGGTCACATAGCAGTTAAGTCCCAGAGTCATGAATTGAAATCTCCCCTTCAGAGACCATAACTTCTCCATTGCGCTGAGCTGTTTCTCTCCCCTTTTCTCTTCTACCATGTGTTCACTCCCCTTTGCTTTTCCCTTTTTACTTATTTAATTGTGGTAAATACACATAATGTAAACAGTGCTATCTTAACTATTTTTAAGTGGACATACAGTATAGTGGCATTAAGTACATTCCTACTGTGCTACCACTACCAACACCCACCCTCAGAGCTCTTCATCCTGTAAAACTGAAGCTCTGTACCAGCTGCACAACAGCCCCCCACCGTTGTGTATGGTGTGAATTTGCCTACTCTAGGTACCACATGTAAGTGGAATCATACTCTATTTGTCCTTGTGTAACTAGTTTTTTTCATGTAGCATAATGTCCTTAGAGTTCATCTCTGTTGTAACATTGTCAGAATTTCCTTCTTTTTTAAGGCTGAGTATTGCGAGTATATGCCATATTTTGTTTATCTATTTATCTATCGGTAGATGCTTGGGTTGCCCCCACCTTTTGGTACTGGGAATAATGCTGCTCTGAGTGTGGTTGTCCTGTCTTTCTCTTTTAATACACTTCTCCCCACCCCCATCTTCTACCTGTACTGTCGACTTGTCAGTGGTACCCACTGGCAGGGCATTGTCCCACTGATAACGCTAAGACCTAGAAAATGGCAGTCCAACTATATAAGCTATAGATCATTTTACTTGTGTTTTCTTATCATTTTCATTTTGTTTCTTAACTTTGTCTTTCTCTTCAAATTTTATTTTGTATGGTAATGAATACATGTTCTGTCATTGGCTCCTGAGTCTATATATTTCTGTCCTTTGCTACACTTGGATGGAGCTCCAATTGAGTTCTTTGAACCTTAAAAGAAATTTTATCAAAGAGTCAAGCCCCACATGGTTATTAAATGCAAGACATCAGGCTAGATGTATGAGATAGCATACAAGGTGGGGCAGCGGGGAGGGAAGGGTAGCAGAAATGGGAGATCAGATTCCCAACTTCAAGGAACTTTTAACTTGCAAATATTTGTTACTTTATCAATTACTTTAAATAATTTGGAGATGTTATTGTCAGGTTCATTCAATACATCTGAGAGACCCTCCTCCCGCGCCTCCCATCTCCTTACCAGGACCTTCGGCTGTGGCCGGAGACATTTCTGGTTCTCACACTGGTGGAACAGTGCTACTGGCATCAAGTGGGTAGAGACCAGAGATGCCAAATGTATACCAAGCACAGGACAGCCCCTCACAACAGAGAATTACCTGGCCCAAAATGTCAATAGTGCTGAAGTTAAGAAACCCAGTAATATGTAATATTGTGTAATTTAGTATTTGTTAATCACTTAGTAATGAACATAAAAAGATACAAATTATTTTCCTAAGGAAAACTTCCTTATGATAAGGCAGTAACTTACTATCAAGCTAGCATTTTCCATCCTGTAATTTTAATGATTTGCCAATCCAGGATGTAAAATTTCAAATGCTTAAGTGGAATTTTAATTTCTAAAGAAAATTCCATAGTAAAAATTTCATTTTAAAAACATAATTTAGTATTTAGTATGTTGACAGTTAATGTATATTTTTTTTTAAAAGTAACATTAGCATGATTAATGAATATTCTTTGGATTTGAAAAGCATTATGTAATTTCCCCTGCCATATTTCTCTCAGTTGTTTTATTGAGGCTAACACTACATTTAGATCTTAGTGCCTATACAGATATTTTATGAAGTACTGCTCAAGCCCCTGAAGGATATTTTGCAGGCCCAATTTAAAATATTTCATGGACAACCCACGTGCATAGCAGATGACATCAAAAATGTAAACAAAATCCATTCCCAACCTGCCCTTCCATGAAATGGAACTTTCTTCCATCAAATGGAAATTAGCAAATGGAATTGGTTGAAAAACTCATTTAGAGGTGCACTAATGCTGTGCCAGTTATCCTGCAGGGCATAGAGATGCCTAAGAGTCACCACCCATCAGTCTAAACCAGTCTCTGAAAGGCCAGGGAGGATACCACAGAATCCTTGATCAGGAAGTCACCCTGGGGAGGACCGGCTGGGGCACGTGTTGGAATGCTAGCCTTACTAACCAAGCCTCACCTAGGCTCAGGCCAGGAGTAAGTGCAGGGCCTGGGACAAGATCAGCATGCCGTTCTCACCAGGTCCCTGCCCTTTGCACACCTTCAAGTGCTGAGTGTTGGAAATTGATGTTCATGTTATGAGTCCTGAATTGCTTTCTTAATCGCCAACAAAAGAATAAATCCTGGCCTTGTGTTTCAGTTATCTAGTCGTATTCCAAAGGTTATCACAAAAGGCTTTCCTGCACGTAGACATGAATTGATTCTCAGGCATGTGAACCACAATGTAAATCAACGTTTTTCTGTTCCAGGACATGGGAAGAAGGCAGGGTGCTTATCTTTGATGACTCCTTTGAGCACGAGGTGTGGCAGGATGCTGCGTCTTTCCGGCTGATATTCATCGTGGATGTGTGGCACCCAGAGCTGACACCCCAGCAGAGACACAGCCTTCCTGCCATTTAACATGTCATGCAGGCTGACACACTGGAAAGAGGCTGCCTTTCTGGTTCTGTCTCCTTGGTTGCGGGGATAGAAGTTCCAAGTCCAAGGCCCTTAATTCCCTTGATTCAGAGTCTGAAAACTTCTGAACCTCCTTCTAGCATTAGAAGACACGAAGGGAGTGTTCTCCATGCTGTGGTATTTAGAAAATGCCCTGCTGCCTTTCACCCTTGGCAGTCCTGAGCTGATGCCCGTATTTCAGGTGATACACGATAGCTTCTACCATGTCAGCCAAAGGTATTTTTTCCACTTAGAATAGACCTAAATCAGTGTACAATAAGAATATATATATAGAAACTGTGAATGGATTGCTTTAGTTTGTAATTTTTCTATGGAACTATATTTTTATAGGGTAGCTAGACGATTTTGTCATTGTACACCACTACTTTTTTGTTTATTTTTAATAGCAAGCTGTGTAAATGCTTTACTTCTAGCTGTTTAATGGCAACTTTTCTGGTGAACTTGGACTTCCCTCTTTTAATTATTTTTAGTAAAAAACACTCATATGAAGGAAGCAATTTTATTTTCCTAATACAAAGGAGAAAATGTAATTATGCCAATGTCTGTGAACAGTGCTGCTCTCTACCCATTGAGTCTATTTGCTTTTTTACCTTCGTTATGAGCCAGTGTATTAATTTCTCTCCTTACTATGTGAATGGTGGAGATACTGTCAAAATTGTTTTTCTTTCTAAGAGGAACTTTTTACACTGAAAAGAGACATGGAATCATTTTATATTGAGTTATAAGAATGCCACATGTAAATTTTGTTAATGTCAAGAATTAGGACTCAGGCGGGGGAGAAAAGGTACAATTTCTCAGAGCAAAAATGTTCTGTCCCTATCAGGAAGACAGGTGGCTGCTAGGATATCTGGCTCCTTGGCCTCTTTGCCATCTATGAGAGAGGGCCAGCAGCCAGACTCTTTGTGTATTATAGGTCCATGTGAGTGTCCCATCACAATTTTGTAAAATATGAAGGATGGAAGAGTGGAAAACACAGAATACCAAAATTGTTGTCCTGGTTTTAAGTTTGCCTTCCTCTTTGAAAGTTTGGAAGACTTTTCCACCTCACTGGCTTGAGAAACCTCTGTCACTTAAACATCACTTTGAAATAGCAGTTATGCATTGTTTAGCTTTACTATTATCCACAGCATTAGAAATAACAATTGAAAACTGGTCTTGCATGCTCTTTCCAAAGGTGAATAAGTCATTAGTTTAGAAGAGTATTAATGTGTTAAATTTTGTCATTTTTAAATCAAAGCTAACTGGAAATACTAGCTTTAAGAATGTAATGATATTCATGCACCTGAATTTTAAGCCAGCATGAACAAAAATGCAGAAATGACACATAGGTTACCAAATTTCATTCACAGGTAGAAAACACTTGGCTTTCTTTTCCATGTAAGGACAAAGATGCTTTCTTTATCTCATTTAAAGAATACCATTCTTCAGAATTGAAATGGACCCTGCTTGCTTGTCCTTATAGACACTGGCTTCTAGGAGAAGAATTTGCAAAAGACTTATCCTGTCCCCTTCTCTGTTGATAATGTTTAAAAATCCCACTAAAATAGATCAAGAAGCATGCGAGGAAAAATATCAAAATTAATTACTGAAGTCAGAAGGAAAAACCAAGCTTTTAAAACATAAAAAGGTATTTGTATCCTTCAGTATTTATTGAACAGAAGAAATGACTGATAAAGGACAATCCAATCCAATGCCCATGTAGTAACATTCATGTCCCTTACTGAATTTGGTTCTTGTATGTATATTGCATACACATAAAGAAATTCAAAGTATAAATTGTCACTGTTAAACCATCAGCTTACATTCACTTAATGAAACCATGGAATAGAGTAAAATCTAAATCTTAACTTAATATTTATAATACGGTATTTAAAATCAGGTCACTACTAAATATTGCCAATTGAAAAGCCAAAATTATTATCACCACTGCAAAGTGTTGGCTTTAATCAACTCCAATAGCATTTTAATGCCTTGGATCCCACCCAGAACTCTTTTATAAATCCAAGTAATAAAATGGATTATCTAATTCACTTTAATTCTTCATCTTCCTTCCCTATGTCATGGAATATGGAAAAATGTTTCAGTCACTGCACTGGTGGTAGTATTTCAATGTTGTTTTGTTACACAAAATGGATTGGTTTTATTTATACTGTGATACAGTTGGTTGAGAAATATTTTTAATTCTACTTCAATTTTATTTCAAGGGTGGAATACAAAAGTGACTCCTCTTATTATTTTATACCAGTAGAAAAAAATTAAAACACTACATCCATTGAGAAAGAGATGTAATAAATAGTTAAGATTAGTACTAGTATCTGTTGGGGGTGATTATGGCCAGTTGAACCATCTTGTTTCTTTGAATTTTTTAACTAACCCTCCCAAAAACTACGATGTAAAATCATATTTTACTTCCCATTATCAACTAAAATACTTTTTATTTGACATTGAGCACCAACTGGTCATACTAATAAATGCCCATGTCATGCAGATGGCTGAGAGAAGAAATAGGAACATACAGTTGGTTTGGGGAAACATGGCACAAGTAAGGATATCATATCCTATGATATCTGTTTATTTGTATCTAATTTCCTTTGAATGGATAGTCGGGTGTCTCCATTTCTGAAGAGAATAGACAGAGAAATAAAATGATCTTTGGCATTTTATCCTGCATTCCTAATCTGTTATTTTCAGTTCTTGCATATTTAGCCATCCATAAGGGTCTTCCTCCATGGTTCACACCTACCCTCTCAGCAACAGCCAGGTCCCTTCTTCACACTTACTGGTTTCGCGAGGGTGGGGGGTTAAATGCTTTAGTAGAATTTTTCTGCCGTAATGACTTAAGTGAGGCAGTTTGAATGGATTAATTAATCACTGACATGTGTTTTCAGTGAGACCTCACCCTCCCTCTGCAGATACATGTTGCCCATGGGAAGTCACATTATTAAGTTGAAATAATCATACTTCAAGTTGTGTGTGCCTTCCTTTAAAGTCAGATCATGATCATCAGCTGGTGGCCTGACAGATGTAACATAAAAATCATTCTTGCAGGATATCAAAATAAGCAAACTCAGCAAATAACTAGATGTGCACATACATCTGAGGCTGAAAAATTTGATGCTGGTGATGAGGTCAAAGAAAATAATTCAATAAGGATGGATATTACTGTAGATACTATTGTCTCGGGGCTTTGCACTACATTAAATTTGACGATTGCGTCTGCACAGTTTAGTTCTGATGCATCTACTTGGAAATGCATATAATCTTAAATTGCAAAACCGGGGGAAGGCATCCTTACGGTGTCTCAGAAAAATCCTTATCCTAATGTAGAGTGTACATGAAATTTAGTTTTTCTTTTTTCAATTCATTTAATACCATAAACATGGGAGGGCAGACTCTTGTTTACATAAATGCCTTGCTTCATCCTCTAATCCCATCATGGAGAAAAAAAAGGCATCTCTCAACTCTTTTGTTCAATTTTGGCTGCTCAGACCAACAGCTGGTGACAGTCACTACTAGGTGCAGGAGTGGAGGGCCTTATGTCAACTGAATGCACATGTGTCGGGGAGTCGTTGCACATGTGCTTCCTGCTGGCTGATACCACTGATGGCTGGCATTATGCAGGGACACAGGGTGACCGGGGTTCAGTCCAGAGCCAGGAGCGGCTGAGTGTTCTCATTCTCTCCTTTCTCCTCATGTTTCAGGGTCCCAGCTTCTACCACAGACTGAGACCTAATAATAGGGGAAGGAAAAAGATATGATTACAAACAATTCATGATGGCAACAATTTTAGAACTTTGGAGGGCATTCAGACATTATGTGTCCCTTGAAAGTCTTGAAAGTCAAGACATTCAAAATAACTATATAATATTTCCCCTTGTTTAACTCTGTTTTCCTTGCTTTTGTGTCTTCTACACCATATTTTTATGGAGAGAGTCATTGTGGAATCTTCTCTGAAATGTCTTGTGTTGGTGAAAGGAGCACATGTTCTAGCCATTATTCTGGTGTCTAAACATTCTGTGGCTCTCGAGATGTATAAACTCAAATAAATTTTGTTGGATTTTTAATGTTTCAAAATTCTTTTCAGAGCCTTTGTTTTTCAAAGTCATAGGAAACTTGTGTATGATGTGAAGACCGTGAGCTTTGGAATCAGATGGTAAATGTCGACTCTGCCCCTCACTGGCTGCCTGGGGAGCCTCGGGGTTCTTACACTCTCGGGACCTTTATTCTCTCACCTGTAAAGAAGTACTGTCACCTCCCTCCCATGGTATTGATAAGGACTAAAACTAGTAATAGACATGAAGAATTTGACATGTAATTACAGTTAAAATTTATGGAACACTCTATTAGTGCCATTATTGTAGTGATAGTAGTGACCTTTAGTTTTTCACATGTCCTTTCATTCTGGAGTAGTAAGTTTATATCTTGGCTTTAAAACTTGGATTGAAACCAATTATTTTCCAGCTTATAGAGACAGATATCAGAGCTATGCACATAGTAGACATTCAATAAATGTTCACAAACTAAAAGAGAAATTTAAAAACATTAAGAAACTGGTTGAATTGTTCAAATAAGCAAAATGTGCATATATGTGCAGTAAATTATTAACTCAGTAGGCTTGAGTTGCCCAAACGCTCCACATTCCAAGTCCTTCTGGACTGTCCTTGCACTGTGAAGACTTTTCCACCTCACTGGCTTGAGAAACCTCTGTCACTTAAACATCACTTTGAAATAGCAGTTATGCATTGTTTAGCTTTACTATTATCCACAGCATTAGAAATAACAATTGAAAACTGGTCTTGCGTGCTCTTTCCAAAGGTGAATAAGTCATTAGTTTAGAAGAGTATTAATGTGTTAAATTTTGTCATTTTTAAATCAAAGCTAACTGGAAATACTAGCTTTAAGAATGTAATGATATTCATGCACCTGAATTTTAAGCCAGCATGAACAAAAATGCAGAAATGACACATAGGTTACCAAATTTCATTCACAGGTAGAAAACACTTGGCTTTCTTTTCCATGTAAGGACAAAGATGCTTTCTTTATCTCATTTAAAGAATACCATTCTTCAGAATTGAAATGGACCCTGCTTGCTTGTCCTTATAGACACTGGCTTCTAGGAGAAGAATTTGCAAAAGACTTATCCTGTCCCCTTCTCTGTTGATAATGTTTAAAAATCCCACTAAAATAGATCAAGAAGCATGCGAGGAAAAATATCAAAATTAATTACTGAAGTCAGAAGGAAAAACCAAGCTTTTAAAACATAAAAAGGTATTTGTATCCTTCAGTATTTATTGAACAGAAGAAATGACTGATAAAGGACAATCCAATCCAATGCCCATGTAGTAACATTCATGTCCCTTACTGAATTTGGTTCTTGTATGTATATTGCATACACATAAAGAAATTCAAAGTATAAATTGTCACTGTTAAACCATCAGCTTACATTCACTTAATGAAACCATGGAATAGAGTAAAATCTAAATCTTAACTTAATATTTATAATACGGTATTTAAAATCAGGTCACTACTAAATATTGCCAATTGAAAAGCCAAAATTATTATCACCACTGCAAAGTGTTGGCTTTAATCAACTCCAATAGCATTTTAATGCCTTGGATCCCACCCAGAACTCTTTTATAAATCCAAGTAATAAAATGGATTATCTAATTCACTTTAATTCTTCATCTTCCTTCCCTATGTCATGGAATATGGAAAAATGTTTCAGTCACTGCACTGGTGGTAGTATTTCAATGTTGTTTTGTTACACAAAATGGATTGGTTTTACTTATACTGTGATACAGTTGGTTGAGAAATATTTTTAATTCTACTTCAATTTTATTTCAAGGGTGGAATACAAAAGTGACTCCTCTTTTTATTTTATACCAGTAGAAAAAAATTAAAACACTACATCCATTGAGAAAGAGATGTAATAAATAGTTAAGATTAGTACTAGTATCTGTTGGGGGTGATTATGGCCAGTTGAACCATCTTGTTTCTTTGAATTTTTTAACTAACCCTCCCAAAAACTACGATGTAAAATCATATTTTACTTCCCATTATCAACTAAAATACTTTTTATTTGACATTGAGCACCAACTGGTCATACTAATAAATGCCCATGTCATGCAGATGGCTGAGAGAAGAAGAAATAGGAACATACAGTTGGTTTGGGGAAACATGGCACAAGTAAGGATATCATATCCTATGATATCTGTTTATTTGTATCTAATTTCCTTTGAATGGATAGTCGGGTGTCTCCATTTCTGAAGAGAATAGACAGAGAAATAAAATGATCTTTGGCATTTTATCCTGCATTCCTAATCTGTTATTTTCAGTTCTTGCATATTTAGCCATCCATAAGGGTCTTCCTCCATGGTTCACACCTACCCTCTCAGCAACAGCCAGGTCCCTTCTTCACACTTACTGGTTTCGCGAGGGTGGGGGGTTAAATGCTTTAGTAGAATTTTTCTGCCGTAATGACTTAAGTGAGGCAGTTTGAATGGATTAATTAATCACTGACATGTGTTTTCAGTGAGACCTCACCCTCCCTCTGCAGATACATGTTGCCCATGGGAAGTCACATTATTAAGTTGAAATAATCATACTTCAAGTTGTGTGTGCCTTCCTTTAAAGTCAGATCATGATCATCAGCTGGTGGCCTGACAGATGTAACATAAAAATCATTCTTGCAGGATATCAAAATAAGCAAACTCAGCAAATAACTAGATGTGCACATACATCTGAGGCTGAAAAATTTGATGCTGGTGATGAGGTCAAAGAAAATAATTCAATAAGGATGGATATTACTGTAGATACTATTGTCTCGGGGCTTTGCACTACATTAAATTTGACGATTGCGTCTGCACAGTTTAGTTCTGATGCATCTACTTGGAAATGCATATAATCTTAAATTGCAAAACCGGGGGAAGGCATCCTTACGGTGTCTCAGAAAAATCCTTATCCTAATGTAGAGTGTACATGAAATTTAGTTTTTCTTTTTTCAATTCATTTAATACCATAAACATGGGAGGGCAGACTCTTGTTTACATAAATGCCTTGCTTCATCCTCTAATCCCATCATGGAGAAAAAAAAGGCATCTCTCAACTCTTTTGTTCAATTTTGGCTGCTCAGACCAACAGCTGGTGACAGTCACTACTAGTTGCAGGAGTGGAGGGCCTTATGTCAACTGAATGCACATGTGTCGGGGAGTCGTTGCACATGTGCTTCCTGCTGGCTGATACCACTGATGGCTGGCATTATGCAGGGACACAGGGTGACCGGGGTTCAGTCCAGAGCCAGGAGCGGCTGAGTGTTCTCATTCTCTCCTTTCTCCTCATGTTTCAGGGTCCCAGCTTCTACCACAGACTGAGACCTAATAATAGGGGAAGGAAAAAGATATGATTACAAACAATTCATGATGGCAACAATTTTAGAACTTTGGAGGGCATTCAGACATTATGTGTCCCTTGAAAGTCTTGAAAGTCAAGACATTCAAAATAACTATATAATATTTCCCCTTGTTTAACTCTGTTTTCCTTGCTTTTGTGTCTTCTACACCATATTTTTATGGAGAGAGTCATTGTGGAATCTTCTCTGAAATGTCTTGTGTTGGTGAAAGGAGCACATGTTCTAGCCAATATTCTGGTGTCTAAACATTCTGTGGCTCTCGAGATGTATAAACTCAAATAAATTTTGTTGGATTTTTAATGTTTCAAAATTCTTTTCAGAGCCTTTGTTTTTCAAAGTCATAGGAAACTTGTGTATGATGTGAAGACCGTGAGCTTTGGAATCAGATGGTAAATGTCGACTCTGCCCCTCACTGGCTGCCTGGGGAGCCTCGGGGTTCTTACACTCTCGGGACCTTTATTCTCTCACCTGTAAAGAAGTACTGTCACCTCCCTCCCATGGTATTGATAAGGACTAAAACTAGTAATAGACATGAAGAATTTGACATGTAATTACAGTTAAAATTTATGGAACACTCTATTAGTGCCATTATTGTAGTGATAGTAGTGACCTTTAGTTTTTCACATGTCCTTTCATTCTGGAGTAGTAAGTTTATATCTTGGCTTTAAAACTTGGATTGAAACCAATTATTTTCCAGCTTATAGAGACAGATATCAGAGCTATGCACATAGTAGACATTCAATAAATGTTCACAAACTAAAAGAGAAATTTAAAAACATTAAGAAACTGGTTGAATTGTTCAAATAAGCAAAATGTGCATATATGTGCAGTAAATTATTAACTCAGTAGGCTTGAGTTGCCCAAACGCTCCACATTCCAAGTCCTTCTGGACTGTCCTTGCACTGGCTCCTCTGAACTCTTGGAGTATGTTGCCTGATAAAAAGTATCTTTGTGTACCTGAGACTTTGGGTCATGCCATATAGTTTATGCGAACAATGTGATTTTTAGTGAATGCCTGAGCTTTGTGTCATCCTGCATCAGTTTGCCCTCTTACAGGGGAGGAAGAAGAGCAGAAGACAGTAACCAAGGTCAGTCGCACACACTGCATGCCTATGTGAACAGAGCACCCTCACAACAATAAAAACCTGAACACCAAGGCATGTGTGAATTTCCCTAGTTGGTGACACTTTGCACGTATTGTCACGTATCACTGATGAATTAAGCTCTGTGTGAGTACTGGGAGGGCAGTTTGCAACTGGTCTAGTGCTCCTGGACTCCACACAGTGCACCTCTTTGCTGATTTTAATCTGTATTCTTCTGCTGTAAAACCATCCTACCATTAGTATAACAGCTTTTCGGGGTCCTGGGAGTCCTTCTAGCAAATTATCAAACCTGAGGGTGATCCTGTGGACCCTAAACACTATATAATAACACTGAGTATTTTTTTATATTCACCTGGTATTGTTTTAAGTTCTCACATGTATGAACTGATTATTTTCACAACCCTAAGGAGTTGTGATATCATTGTCTCCATATTTATTCACTTATTATCTCCATCTTATAGGGACAAAAAAAATCAAGTATAGGAAAAACAACACAAATAGAGTAGACAACAGGACAGGTTTATCACCATCACACACTACTCGGGTATACCTAAGGCTGCGCAGCTGTTTAGCTGAAATATTTAGTGTTCATTCTACCTCACTGTAAAAATAATTTTCTGCTTCAGATTCTTATCTCTATTCAAGATATGTAGGTACTGTAGAAAGCATAAAATACAAAAAGCAAATCAGTACAATTGTCTCAAAACAATGGGCTTCTACTCTCCATATCAATCCAGTTAAATGGCCCAAGTTTAGGTACCAAGCCTAACCTTTCGAAGTGACATGGATTCATTTACCCCTAGAACAGGGCAGAGGAATCCCCTAGGTAGTAGTTTAGCTCAGTTCAACACATTTCCTGTGTTTCTCTCTTTGCTTTAGTTAAGGACAGATTGGTTCTATGTCAGAGGCTTTGGGGTAAAGAGGAGGATGGTAATTAGATTTATGTAAGGAACAAAAAAGCTAAAAACACAAAAGGCATTGAAACACAAACATGAAGAACCCAGAGCAGCACAACTGCCCCGGTGGGGCAGCTCCCTCTGCACCTGGGACAGCTGCCTAACTGCTTTGCCCTAATGCCCTGGGAGATTGGAGGCCACTCCACTTTAGAGACCTTAAACTGTATTTCTCTTCTTTCATGTAAGTTGGCTTTATTTTACAACATGGGAAGTGAATCACAGCCACAGAGTTAGACGGGACGTTAGTGACCCACCTGGATTAACCCCACAGGAAGTATTTGGTAAGGAGTCTTGCAGCCTCTTCTTGAATATATCCTTGAGAAACCTATTCTCCATGCCCCTTGAAGGGCAACTCTGCTAGGAAGTTCTTCCTTACATTGAACTCAAACCTGTCTTTTTGCAAGTTTAGTATACTGTTTCTGGTCTGTCTGCTGGAGCCACAAGAATACTAGTAATCCATCCTGTCCATATACCATGCCTTTAAATATTTAAATAGAGTGAAATTATTGCTTTTTTTTTTTTTTGTATACTCCTCCTATTGAAGCATAGGAAATTCTTCCAGAATTGCATTAGCCTTTCTGGCACTCATATAACCAACCAAGGGAAAATATAGCTATATTTACACATGATGTTATTAAACTGTTTCTCTCCCATCTTGAAGATATGTGGTTGAGTATTGTTTTAACTTTTTAAATTTGGCTCACATTTTCCTCCATCCTTTTGGATCTTAAATTGTTACCAGCCAAATTACTGCAATTTTAATGAGTTTTGGATGTGTTTCCAAACTTTCCATGCCCTTTTTTGGGGAGCCACTTTAGGAAAAAAAAAATTCTCAAATATTGAATTTTCAAATGAAAATCATTTGTTTTCACTCACTCACGGTAAGGAATATTTGTGAGTGTCTCCTGCTATATGAGACTGCGATCAAATACTCAGAAACCTTCCTCTCTTTGTGGGAATAGTACTTCAGTTACCCAGCCATAGACCCAGGAACAGATGGGGCATCACCATGACAGGCCCCTAGAGAGCCGGTGTTTGGGGAGGGGAGGCATTTGCTCCGGAAGGGAAGGAAGGGAAGAGCTATCGTACACACAGTGATATCCTCAGAAGTTCTTGTTCAGGTAACTTGCCCCTCCACTTGGGGTCTAATCTGGATCTATCTGATTTCTTTCAATACCTGTAGCAACAGCAGGAACACAGAATGCAGCCATTAAACTGTAAATCTTGGGTGAGTGGCAAGTGCGAACCAAACATAACATTTTTTTTTCTTGTCTACATTTTCCCTGATTGAGAAGATGACCACAGCCTCTCTACTTTCAGTGTGACATAATTACATGTACCTGGTCACAATGGACATTTGATCTCAGTAATGCTATATTTGAAATTCACTGGAAAAAGAGAAAGCAAATGATGCTTTTTAAAAAGTCTAGTATATGTAAAGGAAGCCAAGAGAAACACCGTTCTTAAATCTTGCCCTCAGTCCATTTAGCTGAGTCAACATACTCTCTGGGAACAGTATCTGAGAAGACAGATCAACTGCTCACTGATAAAATGTCTCTACCACTTGTAAACAGAGTGTTCAGGAATTGTGCATTTAGTGCATTAGCTGTGGAGGAGCAGCTTGCCTTTCGACTTCCTTGTCCAGATCACTCTTGGTGGTTATCTCCCCATTCACTGGCTTTTCCTTCTCACAGGAAGCTTAACACTTCTGCTAAAATAAACATGTCAGACTTTTCTTTGGAGTCCTCTTTCCAGCATTGAAACCCACTTTAACTCCAAGGGCAGTCAGGGGAGTGATTTGAGCTGTTTCAGCCATCATCATCTCTGTGGCATGGCAGACCACCCTGACAAAGCCTTCATTCTAGCCTTGATAGCTACGTTTTGTTTTCCTGCTATTATATCAGTCCCTCTTCCTCCCTCCCTTCCCCCAATTCTATCTGTCTCTCTCTCCCCTTCTCCCATTCCCTCTCCCTTTATACCTTCTACCTTCTCTTTTTGTCTCCAAAATTTGGAACTTTACCCACTCCAGATCATCAAAGACCTGTAGCCATGGTTTAATTTTTACTGATGCCAAATGCAATTAAATTCTAGAAAGAAAATAAAGATGGAAAATGTTCACCATGAGCTAGTCCATTCCGCATAGACTGACAGTTGGGTGAGTTCTGATCTCAGAGGCTTATTTCCAAAACCTAATTAAGCTATATTATCCCTACAGCCACCGCCACACAGTCTTACTAATGAGCTGCCATCACTATGTGGGCCCCAAATAAGGGCACAGGAATCTCCACCCTCCAATCCCAGGCATTCACCAAGACTCAGAAGGTGTGAGTGATAAGGAGCCTCAGAGGCAATTTGGTCAGACCATCTTTGGACTCAGCTCCCACCCATTTGCTTCCCAGAGACCAAGCCACTCACTTCATCAGGAAGCACTGATAGCCCTGGTTTTACTTCTCAAAGTCAACGAGAGGCTTGGTTTTGTGGACTGGCACTAATACCCTAACGAGCCTACACAAAGACTTCTAAATGAAAAATAAAATGGTTTTTAAAAAAGATATCTTTAAAGAATTCTTCTAAGTAATTCTATTCAGCCTCTCTTTCTCTCTGTAACTTAAAGGAACAAGGATGTTCCCCAGGAGCTCCAGCCTGGACTTGAATGATGGCTCTGTGAGAGCAGGCAGTTAGTTAGATGCAAGCAGGAGAAAGGGGCCAGCCCATCACCAAGGAAGATTCCTCCCTGGCCAGCTCCTAAGCCCTCTCTAGCTCCCAGTTCCACAGTCAAGGACACCTAGATTGTCAAGAGGCCCAGGACCCCAGAGGTTCCTGATTACAGGGCATAAGCAAGGTCCGAAGATTTTTTGCGAAATTAAACCCACCTCATTAAAATAACATCTAAATCTAATTAGCAT